GGCGATGACAGAAGTCCCGTTAGAACACCAGCAAAAACTCCTAGAGCTTCGTTTTATTTGGGCAAAAACAATACCACAAAATGGAACAAGCATGCTCCAAATCAGGCAGTGAGAACTCGATCTTGGAATATCTTCATCAACGATGAAATACTTGATATCATTGTAGAGCATACAAATTTCTACATAGCAACAAAAACTAAGAATTACAAAAGAGATAGGGACTGCAAGGAAATAGATAAAATTGAAATAAAAGCCCTTATTGGTTTACTATACTTATCAGGGTTACTGAAAAGCTCCAAGTTGAGCGTTGACGAGATATGCGACAGAAAAGGAACCGGAGTAGAAATATTCTGGCTCATAATGAGCAAGCAACGATTTCTATTTGTCTTGAGGCATTAACGTTTTGACGATCGTACTACCATAGAAGAGAGAAAGAAAACAGATAAACTAGCGCCAATTCGAGAAGATATATTAGTATCTAGTTGTCGAAAGCATTATTCTATTTCACAGAACGTGACAATAAATGAAATGCTTCTTGGTTTTCGTGGTAGTTGCGGTTTTAGACAATATATACCTTTTAATCCAAACAAGTATGGACTGAAACTTTTCTCGTTGGTCGATTTAAAAATGTTTTATACTTTGAATTTTTAACTGACTTCAAAAAAGAAAGAGGTTCTCAATTCGTCGCAATATTTTTTTTTATGTATGTTCAGCGTTAATTCTTTAACACGGTTTCCGATTTCAATGATCCTTTTTTGTTAGAAAGGGGGTACTTCAGGGTTGGTCCTATATAAATTTGGTCAAAATCTAATAATTGGGTCCATGAGAAAATCCTCAAACTCTTAATTTTTTATACATGTTTAGCGATAATGCGTACCTCAGTGGTGGTCCCATATAAATTTGGTTAAGATATGGTGATGGCATCTGCACGTTTTTAAAGTCGGTTTTTTTAATTTTTAATTTCTAATACTTGTGAATTATATGTTGGACAACAATCTGCCGATTCTTTCCAAACAAACAGTGATGCTATGAATATTGTTGTGCGTCTGGTAGCCCCCATTTCCGGAACATCAAGAAACTCACCACTGATAATTGGGTTACCTCTGTGCCATTTGCTGAAATACCATAAGCTGACTCTTGTTGGAACGATTCGGAAAAATAAAAGGGAAATACCTAAGGAGTTTGTAGAGGTCAAACATCGTGCAATAACATCAAGCATCTTTGGATTTGGTTAACACATCACGATAATGTCCTAGGTTCCAAAAAAAAGAAAGAACGTTCTCATAATTTCCAGTTTGCACAATAGCGACGTTATTGAGCCCGCTTCTGGTGATGAAAACAAACCTGAAATGATAACTGTTTATAATAGAACGAAAGGAGGCGTCGACTCTGTGGACCAGCTGTGTTCAGTGTATGATGTTACACGAATTACCAGACGCTGGCCCATGGTTATTTTTTTTCTCCCTTTTGACCATCGCAGGGATAAACAGTCAGGTTGTTCATGTCTCTAAATCACCCTGATCCAAAATCCGATTTGAAACGGAGAATATCTCTAAAACAAATAGCACTGAAGTTGATCGATGAATATCTGCAGAGACGCTCTTATCAGAAATATGTACCGGAAACTATCCGTCAAAGGCGACAAGATGTAACATGAATTTCTGAGGTTACATCCAACGTAGAAAAGCTAGCAGAAGACACTCGAAAATGTTGTTCAGGGTGTAAAAATAAAAATAAGTCTAGCTTCTATTGCCAGAAATGTAAATCGTTTGTTTGAAGCACGCGAAAATGTTGTGCTTTCCGTGCACGGAAAAAAATTTCTATGTTGAAGGGGTTTAATTTAATTTTTTGTTTCTTCGGGCTGTCGACAGCTCCACTTTCTTATTTTTTCTTATTTTAGGTAGGTACAAATAAGAAATTCTTATTTTATTTCAAGTATTTTGACTGAATAAAGCTTTGTTTGCTTGTCTCTGTGTTTTCCTTGAATATTTATTATGAAAACAAAAATAATAAACTAAAGAAATGAATATTATGCAGACGGAGTCAAACAGACTCTGCGCGACTAGTGCTGTCAGAACATCAGGCGCGACTAGCTCAGGGTTAATTTTATTTTAATCTATAATTATTTTAATCTGTAACTGCTCAGAAATTTATTCACACATTCACAATTTATTGTAGATAAGTTCTGATGATGGTTCAAAGACGAAAGCACTTAAAAAAATTGTTTAAATAAAAATGCTCGAAATGCTAATATTGCCTAATTTATATTCAGACTACTCAATAACTAAATAGTAGATATCAGGGTAGCAGTTTCCCTGTAAATAGTTGGTAACAAGTTTGCTTGGTCTCGACAGCAGCGCGCTAAGTGCGATATGATAAACTATAATTTGGTACAGTCGGTAAAGTAGAACACTACTAAGTAAAGCGATTTAAAAAATGGCGGGCCTCAAAATTTATGAAAATTGAAGCATTACATTATATATTCAACAGAATATTCACAATATAAACACTATATTTACATACTAAATTATTGAAGCATAAAAATGTAAGATAACAATGTGACAATTATTTTATTAACAAGAACTGGATACAAATTTAAAAAAAATTATAATTTTATAAAATTAAAAACAACACAAAACAGTCATATCTATAAATACCACAATTATTGTTTTAAAAATCCCTAGTATTGACTTATTATTACACAAAATATAGGTAATTTTTCACAGAAAACACAAAATAATTAATATTTACAATTAATTTAACATAAAAACGTTATAAATATATTTTTTTATCTTAATTTTCCTTACCAAGTCAATCAATTTTCCATGATCAATTCAATTTTAATTGTTATATTGTTTTATATTTATATTATGTATTATACAGAGTGGCTCAAAAGTCTGGAAACGGCCAATTATATCGTAAATTGCTAGTCCTAATTATACAAAATTTGAAGTACACTTATTTTGGGATACGGTAATTCCAGATTTGATATTTGCAATGTTGCCAGATTTGCCGTTTCTCTTAAATTATTAGTCCCTTTGGTTTTTCAAATTCATCACCCTATATATTTAGTCATTAATACAAATCCTTCGTTAGCTACTTTGTTGTTTTTTTTTTTATTTAGTTCGTTTTACAATAATTGAATACGAACAAAGCCATTTGTAAATTGCAATCACAAATTTACATTTCAATCAGAATGACATAATTCCACCTGTACACCAACCATTCAATGCACCTATTATCCCCTAATTTCTATTATAATAATCGGTGTATTGATCTAGTTACTCTAAATTTACAAATTTAATTTTAAAATTCTCTTATCTACAAATCATCCAAAACTCTGATCAGTGTCGGATTGAGACCTCTAGGGAGGGAGAAGAGCCAACTTATTAATGCCATTTTTTAATGTTCTTGCGAAAAAATTTTACTTTACTGCAGTGGCGGCTCGTGGGGTGGTTCACAGTGACAGAATATAGGTATCAGTACAGATGTATGAAAAAACTTTCTGTGTTTTAGAAACTTTATAATATACCTTTCTAACACACTGACAGTTTTTTACCTATATCTGTACCGGGATCTATATTCTGCTACTGTGAACCCCCAAAATTTTGGTAACGAGCTGCCCCTGCTTTACAGTATACAGACACTGCTTGCAATTAATGACATAATTTTTCAAATTATATTGTAGATAATATTCAAATTTTATATAGATACAGGATTTATAAACATAAGTAGATGTTTGAAAAAAAATCGTGTTAACCACCTGAAGTTAATGGTAATCATTAATATATGTATCTAAATAATAAACGAATCATCGTCGTCAGACAAATTAAATTGGCGGTTTGCGAACGAGGAATTGTTTAAAAAATAAAAAAAAAACATTCGATGTAACCGGTCCAAACTTTGTCTATATTGTCTCTTTCGTCATGTATATTATGGAAAAAATACGGACAGAAATGGTAGGTTGGCTTTTTTTTTAACAATTTGATCCCAAAATTTCGGAAGTGTTGTAAAAAAATTTCAAAAATTGCCAGAAATTCGTAAAAATTATTAAACTTTTCTGACCGCCTTGTGGAGTCCATTTAGTCCCAAGTAATGATAAAATGTTGCCGTCAGACAAATTCAGTTTATTTAACCTCCCCGACGCCCCTCTCAAGAGGTTAAAAATTAAAACATTGATTTTTACCTGGTAAAAATTCAAAAACGTTACAGAATTTATTTTATTTTAAATCTGTTATTTAGCTTACTACAACCCTCCCTAGAGTTCGAAAATGAGGTTAAAAAGATGTGAAATTTTAAATTCACATGGAACCGCCAAAATTTATTATTTTCGTGCTAAATCCATTAACATTTACAAAAGTTTACTTTTATCATGGTATTCATGCTATACTATTGTAAATATTTCACGAAATAAATGTAGGTACAGAATGTTATTGTTGATTATAAAGCATTGACTGTGGACTGTAATTATTTCGAATTCTTTATTGTAAGAATAACTGTAACATAAATATAAAACGTGATTGACAAGCGTGTCTCAAAATTATATTAATTATTTTTTAGTGTCACTTCAGAAACTTCTGAAATCCAGCGTTCTTAGACGGCATAGGCGTAGACAGTTAATACTTAAAAGAGAACCATTTGGACCGATAGTAGGAAGACACGAAGGGCGACATTTTTAAAGAGCTTCAGCTTAAATGAATCATTTTTGGATGAAGTGATCTACGTCAAATCGAATAAAATGGGCTTTAGAATTTGCAGTTTTCTTTTGTGTAGAAATTTTGTTTTTATAATTTTTTTTTTGTCCATCTGGTGTATGTTTAATTGTGACTTTAGGTACACATAAAAGGTGATTTTTGAATCCTTGATAAGGTATTCCAAAAGATTATAGGTAATATTATATGGCCAAATTCCACCGACTTACAGTTAAACCATCCATTATTTCAAAAGGTAAATATTTAAGAATTTCAATGTGATGCCAGAAGTTTTACTTTAGTAGATACCTACCTGTTTTTGTTCCTCAAAATTAACTTTTTTTGTTCCAAAGAATTCATCACAATAAAAACTGCAAATTCTGGAACTCATTTTATGTCAATAATTTAACCTAAATCACCTCATTTAAAGTGCTTGGAAGGGGTATTGGATATTTTTAATAATAACTTTTTAAAACAAATTCAATGCTTATAAAATTAGCTGCAAAATATTAACCAAATAAAAAGTAAATTTGAAACACAATAACTACAGAATGTATTGCAACATTACTAGAAAGTAATACAAGCCAATGTTATCTTGAAATAAAAGAAGTTACGAGTGGTATGGGCTGATATCAGTTCAAAACGAAAAGGGGTTGCTTTCATCAACGAAATCGTCTAAACAATGTTAGATATTCCATTTTAACAAAATTATCATGTAATATTAAACCAAACTCAATATCAAATGTATACATACCTATATATATTTTTTTCTAAAATTTCGTCTTCGTCTTCATCTGAATTTATTTTACAAATCACACCACAGACAAAATAGTTTTGTAACCTAGATTATGTTAATAGCATTACATTTTTAAGCGCTCATTCTTGAGGGATTCATTTAAACTGTAATTTAGGTTAATTAACTAATTATTTGATAGCCACTGGCTATTTTCCATATTAAAATGGTTAACTATGAGGGATTTGTTTGATATTTTGAGGTTAAGTATTAATAGTTTTTTTCCATATGGTTTAGATAAAAATAAAATGTTTTAACAGTATAATTGAATCATCAAAATGTTTATAAAATTGCCTACAAGAAAACAGTAAAAGAAATAATTGACTTCTACAAATTTTGTATATCCCGATAGATTAATGGTTAGTAATTAATTCAGAATAAATTAAAGCATTTTCAGATATAAACCAAATTCTTGGTAAAGGAGGCGTTTTTGTGTTTAGATGCTTAAATGGTAGTTTATAATCTTTTAATGATGATAAAACTTACAATTTTGATTCCAGGTATATTTCTCATAACTCTATTCGATTATCTTCCTCCAACTCTTTTTAATTAACATGTCAATAAATCCGTCCCCATCGTAAGACATTTTAAACTAGCCATTCTTCTATAAGATTATCCAATCAACAATTTGTGTCTGATTTGTATAAGAGTAATTCCATCCCAAGAGTAAGAATTTCAAACTACATACTTGTATAATATAAGGTTACCTATCTAAAAAGATAATTTTGGGTAATATTATCAAGCTTATAATTAGGCATTAAAATTTCAAACTATACACACTTCTATAAGGTTATCTAATAAATATGAATTAATGATATATAATAACCCTTGATAATAATTTAATCCTCCCGAGTATGAAATTCAAACTACACACATAAGGTTATATAACCAGATAAGTTTGGGTAATTCTACCAATAATGATATAATTGGGTAACGGCTTTAAGCGAAGAGTATAATAAACTGGAAAAATCTGTAAAGATCCTCAGGTATTAATTTATACCATGCATATAACTGTTATAAATCGTTTAATGATACATAGAAATATGTACGGAGAGGCGGCCTAATAGTCATTAGTTTTTTGCACCCTCTATGTTGCCAATCTAGTACTATTGTAGTAAATCTAGTACTTTGGTGTGTAGGAGCGAGTGTCCAGTTAACGTGTAAAATTGTTGTTCTCCTTATTGTTCTCTATAAGATGACATAAAACCTACAAATAGAATTAAAAAAAAAATCTGGTACATAAAAATCTATTGTTGCATCACTGCAGTGTTTGACATGACATCATCTTTTAATAAAACAAATTAGATAGTTAATCTTCTTTTGTATATATATATAAGATTATCTAAAATATAAACCAGTAGCTAGTCTGTGTCAAAGTGAATCATATACAGAAAGGGTCTACCGATCTAGGTAGACCCTTTCTGTATATCTACCCAGGCATTAAAACATGCACAGTTATAATATGTATAAACATTATTATACTAGTAACTAGCCTGTTTCACATTACATCACTGATCTGTATTATTTTACTGGATAGGATATAAGCTATATTTAACATACTAAAAAACCGTTCCACCAAGGAGACCGGAAGTGCAACATTGCTGGCCGATTTGGGCAAATTATGGTGGGTTCACAGAACTGAAATTTGGGATAATTTGACATACCTAACCTATAATTTGATTAGTTTTTCTTCTTATTATTCTTCTATTCCTTTTGCGGGCGATGTCCTTCGGGAAAATTCACCCATGATTTGATTTTTTATGAAAGAAAATATAAAAATGGAAACGTGAAGCATATTGTGTCTTCAGGAATGAACGTTTATTATTTATTTCATACTCTTTTTACTTTGTTTTCTACAATAAAAACATCTCATCGTAGCTTGTTGACACAATTAAATGACAAATGTGATGACAAATGGAAATAGAGGTTACGTTAAATAACATCCGGTCCGCCATATTATTTACCCAAATCAGCCAATTTTTTGGAACGTTTTTTATTGGGCTATATCCTATCCAGTAAAATAATACAGATCAGTGCATTACATACTGTGTATTGTTTAATACTTGACAGTGGAATATATATTCATATCTAAAACAGGAGGAAATGTGTATTCCATAAAAGGTTCACCTTTGTGAATATTTCAGAACCATTTTATTCGTTTTATGCCGGCCGCCTTGTACATAACATCCTATAATTAGGCTTGCTATTAAAAACCCATCTTTCAGCGTCGTGCATAATAAACAGGAAAAAGATCTACATAAATCCACTGGCATTGTCATACAGATATACAGACTCAGTTATAAACCATTAACCAGCTATTTACAGTACATACTGCATAATAAATACCGGAAAAACCTGTATAGGTCCTTAGACATTAAATCCTATACATGATTCAGTAATTAGCCTGTATCACAGTGTATACTGTGTATTTTTTAATGCTGATTGATGGAGTATGAATTCATATCTAAAACAAACAAAAAAATTTGCAATTAAAAAAAAAGCGTTTACCATTTGTGTCGCCATTTTGTTTAACATCCATGTGATATCATATTCGGTGTCGTCTTTTTTCATCCAGTTCTTTTTATAGTTTTGTTTTTAAGTTTGTAATCCTCGGAGGACGTAGACTTCCCCATTGTAAAAATGTTTATCTTTGATTTACACTAAGGAACTGCAAAGTTATATTTATATGGGTAAAGGGCCACAGTGGCATTTATGGAAACGAAAAAGCAGATGTGGCAGCCAAAGAAGCAAGAATTTGTACTAATTTCGATAATATTCCTTGTTATAGTGATTTATTTTGTGGTTATAAACTAAATATAATCAAAAAACGGAAGGAAAAATGGTCAGAGATTCTACTAACCCCTATTTTCTAATCCATAAGGATTTACCAAAACCGGTTCCTCAAATATTTCTATTTAATGTTTCAAAAAAATACTCATCTATATTACAAGACTTAAGGTCAACCATGGATATTTCCCGGCCCATTTGCATAAGATAGGAATAATAGAGTCGCCTATTTGTCAACATGATAATGAAATTTCTGATTTGAACAGTGACGGCTCGTGGGCACTAGCGGCAGTGGGGCACACACTGGAAAGGAATGCCGAGATTCGTTTTTCCCTTAGGAAAACAAATTCTCCGCTTAATGAAAATTAAATATATTTTAAAACAAATTAAATATTACAAAATTGAAGACTAACTGCCAGGTACCGCTGCAGTTGTATACTATTTCTAATAGTTGAAGTCCATTCTTCTGGATTTTTGGCTAGCGAAGTGATCGATGACCAGATTATTAAAATGTGGAATGGACCGAATAAGTTTTTTTTCGATGGATAACATGGCTAACGCGCAAAATCTATCTTGGCACATAGTGTTCCTTAAAAATGTTTTAATACGTTTTAGTGTCAAAAAACATCTTTCACTCTCCACTGTGGTCATGGAATTGTACACAGGATAGTTAGCAGATCCACAGATTCCGAAAATGTAATTGTCAAATTGTTCTCAAAAAACATTTCTAATAACGGTACGGCCCCATTGTGTTGCACAAAGTTATCTCGGGTGTAAAGTATGGACATTTCGTTTTTGAATTTTAAGCTGTTTACGTTTGGAAATAAACTACACACAGTTTTAACGTCCCATTTACAAATATTATTGATTTTTTTTCATCATATTTTTGACTGCTTTATAAAAAAATGTTATTTTTCTTTATAGTTTTATTTCTTAACTATTCCAATGGTCCAATTAAAGTTTTTTCGTGATCACAGTAAATAAATTATTATCATGGTCCAACAAACGCGCACCGAAACTGGCATCGCCTTTGTGAGGGAGCCGGTAAAGATGCCGCTGCGTACATTCGTATCTGGTCTAGGTAATCAGTGCCATGGGCATAGCACGTCACGATGAGGACACCGCCCCGCTTTTCACGTATAATCCATCGCATGTGTTCATCTCTTGCTAAGCGATATTGTCGTTGTCCTTGTTTTCCGCATCATAATGAGAGAGAAAACAACAGAGGCACATATTTACTGTGCCCTGTGCCTATCTTCCACTTAATTTTGGAATTCTCGGAACGTCGCTCAGCGCCCGGTCGTCCAGTGTCGTGCCAACGCGGTTTGTGCTGAATATTAGATAATATAATATAAGGCATTGAGGAAAATATAAAATATGTAAGTTACTTTTTTTTTGGTTTATTATACTAGGGCACGTGCCCAAGTGCCCTTACGGGCAAACCGCCACTGGATTTGAATCACCTGTTTTTTAATAGTATGTAAAATAAATCCAGGAACTGCAAACTTTATGGTCAAACTAAATAAGTTAAATTTACAATTTTTCACCAACATTCAAGTTTTACTGGCAACGGAGAATAATGAAATTTACAACTTAATAGTATAATTAGATTAATTATTCAATTAAATATTTAAATGTTGTGTGTGGTTAAAGGATCAATATCCAAAGCAAAAAATAATTAAAAAAAAAGGTACCGTCTTTCCATCCATTCTTACACACATAATTGACAAGGAGAGGTTGCCCTAAAACATTGTAAATAAATTCCAGGCTTGGCTTTGTTCAGCCATGGTGTTCATGATTAGCTTTGTTTT